CACTACATTTTTATTAGGTCTTAAAACCTCTGAACAGGGCTGGGGATGTGGCTCAAGTGGTGGCGCGCTCGCCTGGCATGCGTGCGGCCCGGGTTCGATCCTCAGCACCACATACAAACAGAGATGTTGTGTCCGCCCCGAAAACTAAAAAATTAATATTGCGAGTCATTCATATTCTCATTCTCTCTCTCTCTCTCTCTCAAAAAAAAAAAACAAAAAAAAAAAACCTCTGAACATGCATTTAATAAAGGTTTTATAAATGGTGGGGGGCTGGGGTTGTGGCTCAGTGGTAGAACCTCAGTGTGAGGCACTGGGTTCGATTCTCAGCACCACATATAAATAAATAATAAAGGTCCACTGACAACTAAAAAAATTTTTTAAAAAAGAGGACAGAGATGTTTAATTCATGTAATAAGATAATTATAAAACTAGATTACATTTAAAAGAAGAGTGGTACAAAATCCAATGTGAAAATAAAGAGATAGTCAAGTTGCAGTCAAGAGAAAATTTATAGACTTCAGTTTCAATTTGATAACGTGACCCAATATGAGTTTAATACATATTGGGTATTACATATTACATATTTAATACATATTAGGTATAAACATGAGAATTTCATGTTTATAACAACGGGGTTTCCTCTGAAAACTATAAAATGATTCTTTCATATCCACTAAATAATACTTTAAATAGCAGTAATCTTTTATTATCCTGGAGGTTTCTCCTGAGAAGCAGAACTAAGGGAAACTTTCAAATAGGTTAGGTTATATAATAAGCTTTCCTTATGGTAGAATGATATAAGCAAAAATAAAAAGGAAAAGAAATTTTAATGTGATGCTTGGAAAAAATTGCAAAAGAATATTTGTGAAAAATACTTTCTCAAAAATGCCACAATCTAAACTTTTGTTAGTAAGATACTGAAACCAACCCTACCCTATCCTATTTTTCAGTTCTGTGGCTGGGTTAACCCACATCACCTTTCCCTCAAACTTGTTTTCGAGATAAAGAAAAGTGAAATCAGTAAGAGTCAAAAGTCTTAACAGTAAATAGTTTCAAATGTCCAAATGATGGAGAAGGAACAGACCTAAAACTAAGCTTGCTAATAACAAAATCAATCAAACAAGCGTTTATTAAGCAACTACCAAAGACAAAATTAGTAAGAAATACAATGCCTTTCATCTGTAATCTTAAGACTCAATTTGAAAACAAAACAAATATGCTTAAGAGGACAGACATGGTGGCCCACACCTGTAATCCCAATGGCTCAGGAGGCTTAGACAGGAGGATCTGGATTCAAAGCCAGCCTCAGCAATGACAAGGCACTTAGAAACTCAGTGAGACTCTGTCTCTAAATAAAATACAAAATAGGGCTCAATGGTTAAGTGCCCCTGAGTTCAATCCCTGGTATCAAAAAAAAAAAAAAAATACTTAGTATAAAGCAACATCATGTGACTATAGCAAAACCCCTTTCACCTAACAATGTGAAATTAGTTGTGAGTGGTAGGTGGAATAAAATAGTTCACACTGGATAGAAAAAAATTTATAATGTTTTAAATAATCTTCAACTGTTATTTTAAAGCTACGAAAATTCCTTATGGACTGCATGACCTGGGTTCAACAATCTCTTAACAGCTACTTGAGCATGGCTATCTTAGTTAACTTTGCTGGGCCTCAGTTTCTTATCTGTAAAAATAAGCTAATACTTATCACCTCCCCATCTTTTAGAACTGCTGTGAAAATTAAAGGAAATAATCAGCTGACATGATGTTTAGCAAAAGTAGGCCTCAAGTAAAGAAGAAACAGTAGAAGGTAGGATGTCTGCCAGGTTAAAACCTGAGAAACTGAATAATTCTGTAATAATGGGATATGGTTCCTTAGCAAAGGAAGAAAAATTGATATGATAAAATATTCTTTCACAGCAACTTCTCTTTGTCATAGCCAGCATCTGTGCAAATATAAGCCAGTGTCTGAAGGCCATTGATGAAGGGCAGTGTTCAATGCTTGGCTGCTTTCTGATGAGGACAGAGACTTATTATTTCACTGGTTAGGCTATTCATTCATAAAACTGCAGGTGTTCTTAACACTGTATAAAACAGGAAAGCGGTGCACATTTGAGGACTTCGATAGCCACATCCTGAACAGGGTAGTGGAAGAAAGTGTTCTATGGAATTTTAGGATAATCATTAAGATATGTTTAATGAAAAGTAAAAATTGGTAGAATGAAAATGTCTCAAGGCACATCAATGAATTTTGATGTGGAAGGTTATATGCATGATACTTTTCCTTGGTTTTAGCTCTCAGGTGTATATGAATTTACTATAAGATTCTATAAGTATAAAATTATCTATGATGACTAGAAATTCAGTAACAATTCAAAATGCACATGCTAATTTGTTTCATTTTTATCTTAGATTGGGACAAGTACTTAAAGATAAATCACTCTAATGTTTTTAACCCCAAGTGCTATTTGATAATATTTTCCAAAATCAAGTAACTCAAAAATAACTGGAGAAAACCTTACCATTCAATTATTCAACAATGTCTGGGAAAATTCTCCTTTTCAAGACTCTAGATAGACTGGGTTGAGAAAATATTCACAGTCAATATGAAATGAAAACAGGACAAATAAGAAAATTTATAAAGCAAGACAATTAAAAAGTACAGCAAAGCTTTACTGTTAATAAAAGTGGATATATGCAGAGGAAAGTCAACTAGGAGGTGCATTTTGAAAGAAAGCCAAAGTTAAAAGTTCTGAAAGATAGTCTGAGGTTTTTGCTTGGCCCACTATGATGTAAAATCAAAACCTTCAAAACACAGATCAACAGGAAAGAGATAAGAAAGAACTACTCCCCCAAATGACAATTCCCACATCAAAGAGTTATCCCAGCCTACAATTGTCTTTTTCTATATCATTTATCTATCCCATTATTATCATGCAAGAATGACTTGATGGGCTTTTTAACCTCCCAAATAATTTTCATCAGTCTCCTCAAAAACACTTGCAAAATATATAAACTAAATAAAGTATTGCACATGCTAATGTTAAAGGAGTCTGAAGACAGAAGCTAGGGGATATCATTCCAAATAAATCGCTGCCCCTTCCATCCATCCCCTACAAAAAAATCATGAGGCTGTCACCTAATATCATGCTCTGTTGGAATATAGTACAGTGGTTAAAAGCACGGATTTGGGACTAGGATATACAAATGATTTAAAATTTTCCCAAGAGCCAAAAAAAATAAGGAAGCAATGATTTGATGTACACATTTGGCAGAAATTTAAATTAGTGAAACCATACTGGAAGTCTATTTGGCTTTAAGTATCCAAGATTCTAAAAATATGCATAAGTTGACCTAGAAATTCAATTATGAATTGAATTTATACAGTTCCTTCTAGGAAAATGAAGATTAAATATACAATATGTACATATAAGAATATTCTCTAAAAAAAATGTTCACAATAACAAACTATTATAAAAATCTTAAAATGTTCGATAGCATAAGAATGGTTGGTAATTATGCTACAATCAAAACATGAAATGCTATGCAAATTTTTTAAATGAGAAACAGTCATATTTAGACAGAAAAATATTCATGAAGTACTGTTAAATAAAAATGTAGATTATAAAATCTCATTTGCATATCAAAAATGTGAAACAAGTATCTGAGTAATGAGATTAAATACAATTTCAGATTAAGTATCTCTTATTTTGAAATGCTTACAACCAGAAATATTTTCAGATTTCAAATCTTTGAAAACTTGACTAAACTTTATACTTGAATATCCCCACATCAAAAATCTGAAGTCTGCCAGACCCAGTGGTGCATGCCTGCAATTCCAAAAGTTCCAGGGCCTAAGGCAGGAGTATCATGAGTTCCAAGTCAGTCTCAGCAATGGTGAGGTGCAAAGAAACTCAGTGAGACCCTGTCTCTAAATAAAATACAAAATAGGGATGGGGATGTGGCTCAGTGGTCGAGTGCTCTGAGTTCAATCCCCAGTACCAAAAAAAACGAAAAGAAAAGAAAAATCTGAAGTACAAAGGTGCTCCAAAATTCAAAACTTTTTATATTGTTTACTCCAAAAGATTTGGGAGGATTTCAGATACAGGGATTTTGGATTAGGAATGCTCAGCCTGTGATATTTTCTTCTCTGTAAATTTTTTGTATCTTCTCACTTCATTACAATGAGCATTATTACTTTCTACAATCTGAAAAAAATTTTTACATTCAGTAAAGAAGTAATAATGGTAGATCCACACTAAGCATATAGGTAATAACTACAAACTTTGTAAGTCCATGTAATATACAAATATATATGTACTTATATATCTGTAAATACACATCTCAAGTTTTGATTTTTTGAAAATTAGTACTTCTTCAAAATTGTAATTTCAACTTTCTTCAGCCCTTCAAAGGCATAAAGGGACATTTGTGTCATCCTAAAGTAACCAGTACTGACTGCTCCAATTCAATTTATTTTTAGTTTGCACTGCAGTTGGTGGTGTGATATACCTTCCCTTTTGAGTTCTGCCTGCCTCCAGAAAAAAAGGCTAAACTAAACCACCTCTATAATAAACTGCCTGGGGTTCATAAGGAAACCACGCAGAAAGCCTCTTCTTTAATAATTTGGAGTGGAGTAATTATTAGTGAGACCCCAAGAAGTAAAGGGAAAACATCAAATAGAGTTACTCAGACATTCAGGCAAGTCTGACTTTTCATTCCTTCCAGAAATCTCCACTAAAACACTACAGGGGAAGATGAAACAAAATATACAATATGATAACAACTTTTAAAAAAATCACAATTATCTAAGAATTCAAACTAATTTAGTAATTTAATACTGAACTAAAAATGACTACATAGTAAAACTATGATAATTAGATTCTACTTATTCAGATAAGTTATGGAGTATGGTATGCTGAACCATATACAAAGAATGGTAAAGACACGCAAAAACTCATAAAATTTGAATACAGGTCAGAAAATTTTAAAAGTACTTACCACTAAGTCCCAATTATTTTGTTCAAGCAATGTAATAGCTTCATCAATGTTTTCAATGCCAGTACATGCCTAAAAATCAAGAAAATAAGCATTTTAGATATAATTTTAGAAATGGGGAAGTTAATTAGATTTTAAAAAGCAAATGGCATACATAATATGTAATTGAAGCTCAAGAAAATATATAAAGCCAAGAAACTAAATGGGTAATACTTCTGAACACTCTATGCATACAGTTTGAAAACTGTAGATTGCAAAGTAAAGTTAGATCATACTAAAATAAAAGAAAATTAAGATAATAACATATGCTTAAGTATTGAGATTTGGAACTCAGCAGAATCTCTAGATCTCTAATTGCTAGGAACAATTTTATGTAAATAACTGAACTCAAGCAAAAACACAATTAATATAAAACTTAACTCAAAACAAGTAACAGACCTAAGCTATAACCTAAATCTATAAAACTTCTAAGACCTGTGCTGTCTGATTCAGCAGCCATCAGACACTTGTGACTTCTGAGTCCTTAAAAACTAACTCAACTAAGTTAAGACGTGCTATAAGTATAAAATACACACGGGTAGAATTTAGTATATAAATCCTAAATGTATCAAGTGCAGTAGTGCATGCTAGTAATCTAGCAATTTGTGAAGCTGAGGCAAGAGGATCCTAAGTTCAAGACAGCCTCCGCAACTGAGTTAGGCTCTAACTGTTAACATTAAAATTAATTCGAAGTACAACTTCTCTTTAATTTGTATCACATTTAGACCAAAGTGAAAAAAAAAATGCTTTGTTTAACAAGTTTAAGTCAGGGGCCAACTGTAGTTACCCTTCACAGTGTTCTTTATTTCTTTGTATAATTTCAAGTTTCTAAGTAGTGCCCTTTCATTTCCTCCAGTAGATTTCTTTTAGCATTTCTAATAAGGTAGATCTAATAATAGTTACAACCTCTCTAACCTTTAGTATCTGGGAATGTCAATTTCTCTTTCAATTTTTACAGACAATGCTTTACTTCATGTTTTGTTGGTTTCTGTTTTGTTTTGTTTTGTTTTCTCCAGCAAACTAAATATGTCATCTCCTTATCTTTTGGACTGTACAGTTTTTGATGAGAAATTGACTATGAAATCTTATTAGTGATCATTTTTATATCCATATGTCAATTCATGAAAAATGGCTTGGTAAATGATATTGTCATTGTGTAAACATTATAGTGTATACAGATCTAGAGATGGTATAGGCCAGACACTTGATGTAAGCAAATGACACGACAATGTACCAGGGAATACTGTTTTGTAGTAAACTTTTCTTTTGACAGTAGAAGGAATACATGCTAGTGATAAAAAGGATCTCATAGTGGATGCATAAACTAGTAATACTGGTCATTTATTATCATTATCAAGTATTATGTCCTGTACACAAATTGTGTCATACTTTTATACGACTGACAACATAGTAGGTTTGTTGACACCAACATCACACAAATGCTGTGGTGTTACTAGGCAACAGGCATTTTTCAGCTCTGTTGTAATTTCATGGTACCACCATTGTATGTGCATTCTCTTGTTTACCAGAGTAAATACGGTACACAACTATATAAAAATCACTACTTGCTGTTACCAAGATACTTTCTGGGAACTGGAAATGTACTTCAGTGGCAAAGATGTGCTTAGTGTGTGTGAGACCCCAGTTTTGATCCCCAGAACTACAAAAAAAAAAAGAAGAAGAAGAGGAAAACATTTCTTTTTGGCTCTTGATAGTTTGATTATAATGTGTCTTGATATAGATATCTTTGTGTTTATCTTTCTTGAAACCTATTGATCTTCACAAAGATGTAGAGTCTTAGCTTTTATCATATTTGGGAAAATTTTAACCATTATTTATTCTTTTGTAAAAAGATTGTTTATGGCACTGAGGATTGAACCCAGAGATGCTTTACCACTGAGCTATCTCCCCAGCCCTTTGTCTTTTTTTATTTTAAGACAGGATCTTGGGATTGGCGATGTGGCTCAAGCAGTAGCGCGTTGTCTGGCATGCGTGCGACCCAGGTTCGATCCTCAGCACCACATACAAAAAAAGATGTTGTGTCTGCCAAAAACTAAAAAAAAATAAAATAAAATATTAAAATTCTCTCTGTCTCTCTCTCTCTTTAAAAAAAAAAAAAAAAAAAACAGGATCTTATTCAGTTGTTTAGGGCCTCAACATTGCTGAGGCCAGCCTAGAACTTGTAATCCTACTGCCTCAACCTCCCAAGCCTCTGGTATTAGAGGCATGCACCAATGTTGATGGTCAGCCATTATTTATTCTTTAAATATTCTTTCTCCCCCTTTCTCTCTTTCCTCTGCATTATATTCTCATTATATTCCCACTGCATATATATTGTTATGCTTTTCTTGGCTAGTGATGTGCAGTACCATACTACTGTGATCCTGGGCAACAGCAGTGAGACACAGCCCTCAATTACACCATCACAAGGGTAAACAACTGATACTCAAAAATGTACTATGTTAAGGAGCTATGATGTTCAACAAGGTAGTTGTATTAAATGCATTTTCAACTTATAATACTTTCAATTATGAAAGGTTTAATGGTATATTAACACATCATCACTTCAAGAGCATCTGTACATAAATAAATACAAAAGTCAGTATTATTGTACTTTTGTTTAAGTCCTTTTTTCTTTTTATATGATGTAGCAGAAAAATACATAAACAAATATAAATCTGTAATAGTGACCATATAATGTACAAAGATGTAAGTGCTGACAAGAACATGAAGTGGAAATGATGGGTTTTAGAGGAGCAGAGGTTTTGTATACTACCGGATCTAAATTGATGCTAATTCAAAATACATTCATAATTAAAGAGATTTGTAATTTCAAGAGTGACCTATAATAACTTTTTAAATAGACACAAAAATGAAGTGAAGTAAAAAAATATGAGCTATAAACACAAAAGAAAGCAATAATAAAAGAATTGAGGAAGAAAAAATGTTGACACATTTGTCCATGACACATTTTTAGAACAGCAAATGACAGAAATGCTTCCATAAGTAATTGTTGTAAGTATAAATGAATTAAACTCTTCAAATAAAAGGTGAAGATGAATAGAATGAATAAAAAGACATAATCCAACTATATACTGCTTATAAGAGATGCTTCAGATCAAAGAGAGAAATAAGCTGAAAGAAAAAGGATGAAAAATGCTATTCCAAGCAATTAGTTATTTAAAGAGAGCTTAGTGGCTACACTAACATAGATGAAACAGACTCTGGGTCAAAATAATTCAAACAAGAGGAAAAAAAAGCATATTATATACTGGTTAAAAAGGACAATGCATCAAGAAGATGTAAATATGATAAACATATACACATCTAGTAGCAGAGCCCCCAAAATATATGAAGTAAAGAGCTGAAAGAACTAAAAAGAGAAATAGTTCTACAATAATAGGTGGGTCACTTCAACATGACACTCTCATGAACAGAATAACTAGAAAGAAGATCATTAAGAAAATAGGAGACTTGAAAAACACTATAAAAACTACACATTAACAGACATATACAGAACACTCAACTCCAAAAACAATAGGAATAAATATTTTTCATAAGTATACATGGAACATTCTACGGGATAAAGGTTAGTTAGAACACAAATCAAATCTCAAGAAATCTTAAAAGACAAATCAAAAAGACTCAAATTATTGAAATGAGAATAAGAATATGAATAATGACCTTATAGAAATAAAAATATGAAAAAGCATACCATGAACAAGTACATGTCAACAAATTAGAAAACCTAGATAAAATTTAAAACTTCTTAGAAACTACCAAAACTACAGAAGAAAAAGGAAATTTGAAACTATCTACAAATAAAGGGACAACATCAGTAATCAAGACTTCCAAAAAAGAAAAAACCAGGAATACATGGCCTCATTTGTGGTGGTTCAATATATAATAATGATTATTACATTAATAGAATGAAAAAAGAAAAAAGACCATAATAGCTAAAAGCACACCAAAAAACATATGTGATAAAAAAATAAAGGCTTTCATTATAAAAATGTTAAACTACAAAGAAACTTCCTTAGCATTAAAGACATTTATTTTTTAAAAAAACAGAACTAACACTATACTCACATTATGAAAAATTAAATCCTTTGCCTTAAGATCAGGAATAAAATAAGGGTGGGTCCTTTTGCCACTTCCATTGTTTTGTTTTGTTTTGTTTTTGTGGTGCTGGGGATAAAACCCAAGGCCATGTGCATGTGAGGCAAGCACTCAACTGAGCTATATCCCCCCAGCCCCTTTTGCCACTTCTATGCAACAGAATAATGAAACTTCCTGGAAAAGCAAGAAAGGCAAGAAAAAGAACACACTGAAGCTGAAATAGAATAAGCAAAACTATATAAAAATTCTTAGGTACAGAAAATCTTTAAAAATTCTCACACACACACACACACACAAAACCAGTGCCAATAAATTCAGTGAAACTACAGGATAAAAGATAAACACAGAAAACTCAGTTTTATTTCTAAATATATTACCATAAACAATCCAAAAAATATTTTTTATAATTCCTTATGATACAATCCAGAAGAATAAAAACCTAAGAATAAATTTAACCAAAAAGTAAGAGACTTATACATGTAAAAAAGGTAAGAAAACTGGGTCAAATAGTGGTTCCATTCCAAGTTCTCTGAAGAAATCTCCATAAAGTTTTTCAGAGTGGTTGCAACAATATGCAGTCCCTCCAGCAATATATGAGTGTACCCTTTTCTACACATCCTCATCAACGTTTAATGTAACTTGTATTTTTGATAATTGCCATTCTGACTGGAGTGAGATGGAATCCCAGGGTAGTTTTAATTTGCATTTCTCTATATTTTTTCATATATTTTTTCATATATTTGTTGACCATTCATATTTCTTCTGTGAAGTGACTGTTTGGTTCCTTTGCCCTTTTATTGACTGGGTTATTTGGGGGTTTTTTGTGTTTGTTTGTTTTTTGGTCTTTTTTGGGGGGAGGGGGGTAGTTATTCTTATATCCTAGAGATTAATGCTCTATCTGAGGTGTAGGTGGC